ACACACACACACACACCCGCATGCGACAAGGCACCTCTGCGCCGGCCAAAAGGGCCCTACACTTTGCTTTCTCTTTCTCATTCCCTCTTTCTCTCGGCACCATCTTCACAAAAGCTGGGAAACGAAACCGACCGCAGAACGCAAAGCTGGGAACCCGCGTGGCGCTCGCGTTCCCACGTGGAAGAGGACCCAACCCGCGGGGCAGAAAGCGGGGCGCGCAAGGAACCCCAGGATTAGCGAGCTTTCCGCCCTTCCCTTTCGACCTAGCCAGGCTTAGCATGGTGAAAGAGGCTCAAGCCGTCCGAGGGGGAATTTTGCCCGCATGCCAGCGTTTGGGGAGCCATTCCCACGACCCGCCGCGCCCACGCGTCCTTTGCAATGCAAAAAAAAAAAAAAAGTCCCAGATCCGGGGTGGGGGGCAAGAGGGAGCCAGGCAGGACCCGGGTCTGGAAGGTCTCGCCTTCCCACGGCAGGAAAAGCCCCTCAAGCAACCCCGCATTTGGGAAGGGCGAAGGAAAAGCCAAGCCCCGGGCATCGCAGAGAAGCGGGGTTGCAAAGCCCGCGCGCCGCAGCCCGCAGTCCCCCGGCCGGGGAGGATGGGGATGGGTGTTCCCGGCGCAGAGGGCGCCCCGCGGGGTCCGCCTGCCCCTCGCCCGCCACTCACCCCACTTGTCCGGGCCACCCTCCGCCGGGAACGCGCTCGGCCGCCCCGAAAATGGCTGCTGGACCGCCCTCCTTCCCTCCGCCGCCGCCGCCCCGAGGAGGAAGAAGCGCCGCCCCGCGGTCTCCGGGTGGAGCTGCCGGAGGATCGGGCGCCCCGGCGGGTGGAGGACTCGCGGACTGTCCCGGCTTGGTTGCAGCGCTTCGGATCGTCCCCTCGGAAAATGCATTGGGGAGGGGGTCTCCCAGGTGGCTGCCTGGCTTCTCCGACCCCCCCCCCCTGAACTCGGATTGCAGGAGCCCGCGGGCCCGGGAAGCAGGCGACGCGCGTTCACACGTGCAAGCTTGCATAGCCCCACCCCGTAGCCAGGAAGGTGCCCGTTGCAACGGGACGGGTGGAGCGCGCAGCCTTGCTTATCCCGAACGAATGAGTGGGGAGGTGCACGTGATACACACACCCCGACTCTTGTCCCGAAACTCGGTCTTGGGAATGTTTATGGAGATTCTCAGTCAATCCAGGTCCTGGTTGTCCCAAAGGTGAGTTCCCACCCCACAAGGCCACAGGACTTCCTTGTTTTACTGTCTTGGGAATGGCAACTTCCAAGATTGCAAAAATTAATAATAATAATTAATAATTAATAATTAATAATAATAATAATAATTAATAATGCAAAAAGGGGGATCCCGGGCTGGAGGAAACGTTGCAAGGGGCTAAGGAGAGCTTGGACCCCCCCAAATTTATTGGGGTTGGCTGGTGTGGAAACGCCAATTGCGCCTTTCCCAGGTGATGCCCGGCTCGTCGGGATTCACCCCGTTGCCTTCCCAAGCCCTCCCCCCCCACGAGGACCCCCAATTCAGGAGAGGGGGTTCGCTTGAATGGAAAGAGACCCTATGCAGATATCTCCCCAAAACACGCAAACAACCCCCCCAAAAGGTGAATTCACCCAACATAAAAGCTTAAGCCTGGTTTTTTTTTTCTTCTGCTCGCTTGGCTGGATTTGAACCCTGCACCGGCCTCACCCCAATCCGTTTTGCACGCTTCAGGGCGCGGGCAGCAGCCTGTCTTGCAACCCCGAGCCCCCCCCTTTTTTAAAAAAAAAAAAGCGGCTTGAACTTCAAACTCCCAGAATCCCCCAGCCCGGCAACGCTGGGAGTTGGAAGTCCAAATCTCTCCAAAGGAATTCAAATAGAGACAAAAAACCACTGATGTAACGGACACCCCCCCACACCCATATCATAGGGTGCTTCAACATCCCGACGAACCCAATGCACGCTCCCTTGACTCGGGAGAATCTATGGCTTGTGTAAAACCGGCTTACGACCCGTCAATCCAGCCAGGCGGGTTTTCCCGAGCCGGGATCGGAAGCTTCGCCCGCCGCCCGATTTAGCGGACAGCCGAGAGAAGCGCCTGAGGATTGATTCTTGGGTTGACGTACCCATCTTTTCTTTCTCTCCCTCCCTCCTTTCGGCTCGCTGGGGGGGGAGTTGTGGTTGCTGTTTGAC